CTTGTACGAGGGAGCAGGCTGGCTGCAGAGAGGTCACGTGGACTGACTGTGCTGCTTCACCAGAGAGGAGGCAGAGGAATTCCCTGGGCTGCACCTGCCTGCAGCCAGTGAGCACTCTGAGGAGCTGCCTTGCCAGGTGCCCCCCGTGGGGCCAAGCTGGGAGGAGAACACCCCGCGGGGGTGAGTTAGAAGCAGCGCCATGTCCTGCTTTCCTGGCTCTAGAAGGGGGCGTGAGAGCGGGAGACTGTTGGAGCTGTCGTCCATTGTGCAGGGAAATAGAGCTGCCTTGCCGGGAGCATCCGGGGACCACGCTGGAAGGTTTGACAGGCTCAGTGGCTCTAGTTGCACAATACTGTATTTTATTTGGCATTACACAGCTAGCTGAGGGGAGCCACATGGCTTCCTGCCCCACTCCCTCTTTGGTGACCATTGGTGCACCATTCCGAGGACTAGACTTCTGAACTGGGAGCATAGCAGGGACGGAAAAGCAATGCCCCAGCTCCTCCCCATTCCCACGGTCCGTTTCCCCGGATTCGACAGCAGCGTCTCTCTTGGGACCGGTCCCTTTTTTGCTCAGGTGTGCAATAGCCTGCCGGAGCCCCGAATGCTCTTGGCAGAGTTTGCGCTTCCATTGCAACTGGCCTAGGGGCTCTGCTGCCTTCCTGTTCCGTGGGAGCAAAGAGCCCACCCCCCACACATACGGCATCCAGACCAGGAACGGTGAGGCAGTAACTAGAATGGAAACGTTTTCCTGATCCCAGATGCTCCTGGGCTGAGTTCACTTCAGTTCAAAACGAGGCTTGCAGAGAAAACGGTCCATTTTATGCAGTGAAGGGAAGCAAAATCTGTTGGGGTGGGAGAGAAGGGGAGGGACTGTCGGGCAGGAGGACTCCTGTGCTCTCCAGGGGCTGGAGTGAGAGGAGCTGGCACCCCAGGAGCAGAAGAGCCGGTCTGTGCAAACAGCTCTGTGCTGTAGGAGCTGAAAGCTCCGCCAATCTGCAGTAATTTCAGTTTAATAAACCAGGAGGGCATCTTAAATGCCAGTGGTCCTATTTCCCATCCTCTGGCTGTAACGATTCCTGGGAGAGTAAACTGCCTGAGAGCTGAGACCTGGAGACTGACGCCAATCACCTGTGCAGCCAGTCACATGCCTCCTCTCGTAATACCCCTTTTATAAGGATCTGCCCCACCACCTTTGAGTTCCTGAAGTTGTCGGTGTACATGTGGGAGTTCAGGCTCTTTCTTCCTGTAGTTTGTTTAGGAAACACTGCCAGTGTGCTTGGCACTGTACAAAATGGAGACCCAAGCCAAACATTTATTCAGATTAGGTAGGTTAAGGCTTACCCTGCTTTTGTTGCTAGAGCAGCTGTGCAACCTCTCTGCTGGGCCCGGGAGTCAGGCCCGGGGAAGACAGACATGCTGTGTGAGGGGGTGAAAGAATCACAGGAAGGCAGGAGAAGCCGGATGACTCTTGGGAGGGGAGAACCTAGGTGGTTTAGTAGAAACATCCCCATTTTCCAGTTCATGCATGAAACAAACCTATCACTCGTTAGCAGCTTTCCCATAGCTGTTAATAAAACTGGAGCACAAGTTTTGGGTGATGTGACCAAGCACAACCAGAAACCACGATTCTCTGAGCATCCATGACTGAGAAATTGATCTGCTGCTCCGCCAGGGGGCAAACATGCATAATTTATTGGCGTGGTACTGGGCTGAGGGCAAGCTGTTCATGTGCTGCATGTAGAGCGCAATTCCCTCTAACGAGGAAGAGGTGATGCACTTCGTCTGGCATCAGGCTGCTCAGTTATTCAGAGCTTGGGGTGCAGCCGTTGTACCTTCCCTCGAGGTTATTTTAGTGGCGGTGTCATCATTGAAGAGCACTGGATGTCAGCAGCTCTGTAAGTTTTATTTGCCCTGGAAACACCATGAAATGTATCGGCAGGTCCTGCCTCCTAAACAAACTCCTAGGACACCTGTGCTTACAGGTTAGGACTGACAATCCTTCCGAGAGTGTGATGTATGATGTGCCTGGGTGACAGAAGGCTAACAGTATTGGCAGCACTGGTTCAGTGCACCTGCTAACTGGGGGCTTCGTAAACGTCTTCCACACCTGGGCTTCCCAAAGAGCCAAACTATCCAGTGACCGTACGCCTGGTGGGGCTTCAGTCCCTGAGCTGTCTTTGCTGCGAGTTTGTCTGTTCCCCTAACCAGCACGCTAGAGAGACGTTTGGAGTGGGCAATGGTTTGGTGCTATTCAGATTCCCAGAGTGATTTTAAGCTGCAGTAAGATCTTGCCTCTTCTGACAGAGAAACTGGAAATTAAGCAAGTGGGCACATTTGTTACAGTGAGTGAGGCTGATGTGCAGAGCACGGGAATTGTCAGTCCAGATCAGAGCAGTCGCCCGTCTAGTCCAATATTCGGTCTCCAACCCAGTGTGGTACCAGATGCTTCAGAGGAAGATTCAGGAAAGCTCCTTGTGAACAATTACCGAATAACCTGCCCAGAGGAGAAGTTTTTTCCCCAGCCCCCTCTCTGTTAATTGGCCTCTGCCCTGAAAAGTGAGGGCTGGTATCCTTTTTGAAAAAGAAGTGCCCTCTAATGACAGAGGGTATTTGTGCTCACTGTCTCTGTGCGTTTCATACAGCTTAGTGGATTGTCTATGCACTGTACATCCATCTCTGCTGCAGTTCTCTTAGGAAAGTGTGTGGGGGGGCGTTTCTTAGGCTAGGGAAGAGGTAGTTCAAGGGCCATCTTCTCGCCATGTATGACCAATCCGGAGCGCCTTGCTGCTCAGCTCCTGCGAGTTCAGCAGCAGCACCTGGGCCAGAGGCGTGGCTAGGTGAACTTCTGTGGGCAAGGCTGGAAATCAAGGCTATTTATAGCCCCTTGTCTCAGAAATGCCTCGTAAGCTGCTGTGACAGTGATGCAGGGCAGCTGTCTTCAGCCCAAAGTACTGATTGTAGGAGACTGCAGTGTTCGCTATGAGGCTTAGTTACCTTGGAAACCTGTTTTAACTGGATCTCGGCTCCAGTGAAGAGCCCATCTGTACCTGCTCTTTCTTTGTTCGCAGAGAAATATTGGCCTGAAGTCCTCCCAGGGCTGAATTCCTGTGGAATGGAGGCCCTGACCACAGTTTGATTCAGAGGATGAGCTGTAGTGGGGGTGGCACTTATTGGAATGTGCTCCGGGAGGGAGGCTGGGGGCACAGTTCCCCTCCCTTTGGGCTGGTCGAGGCTCTCTGCTGATATTGGTGAACTTCTGGCATTGGGAGCAGAGCTTTCAGGGCTTTAGTCAGGCTCCGTTCAGACGGCTGTCGCTCACTCCTTTTTCTGCATGCTTGAATCTCTGGAAACCCAAAGAAATGGACCATTTCCTCCATATCTTGTTGCTTCCCCCCAAATTTCCTGTCCCGTAGCTATTTCCACTGCGGAGCCGGTAGTTCTGCCTCATCTAAAAGCTAGTTTTCCTGTTCTGTACAGCACCTTCCCAAATCAGGGCTGGTTTGCTCCCGTGTCCTTGAGAAGGGACTTTAGAATTGATGTGTGTAACACGTACAAGTTACAGGACTAGCTTTGAGGGCAGTAGTGGGTGAATTCTGTCCAAGTATTAATTGGTCCCTATGTGCTGTATTGCCCAAAGGCTGAGGCAAATATTGAACACTCTCAAGAACTATTTCAACACTCGGGCACCTCCCCCCCCCCCCCCCGGTCCTGCCTTCCAAGTGCGCAGTGTTCACTTCTTGACTCTGTTACATACGGGTGGGTGATGGCTCTGAGTGAGTCTCCCGGAGACCTCGCTGGAGCTTCCAGGGTGGGTTTTCCACCAGCCGTCTTTCTCCAGCACCCATTGCTGTTCCTAGCCTGCTTCTGCTGCCCTCATTTAGCTGTTTGCCTGCCTTACTGCTGCTGTTGCCTGGTTGAGCTGCGTCACGGGCAGCAGCATGTGCTGGATGGCAGGATTGCCGCAAGCTGGAATGCTGGCTTTGAAAAAGATGAATCCAATCCAAGTTGTACCTGTAAAACCGAGGGCTCAGCCTGACGTGAAGCTGTTAGCTCCAGGTACTGATCAGTAAATAATAAACAGCCTTTTAAAATCTGCCTTTACAGCTTCCTAACTTGCACGTCCTGTCCACCTCATTTGGCTGTCTTAAAGTCCCAGAACCCCATTCCCGGCGGCTGATTTCAGAGCAGAGACTGTGTTTAGAATCTCATGTAGACAGACCCACGAAATAGGCTTTGGTTCCCGACCGTATCCCATGTGGGGGGGAGAGGAAATCTCTATGATGCTAATAACTACCAATAATAGTGATGATCTATTTCCGTTTTTGCAAACGTTCATAACGCAGTGATGCTTTGTAAATTGGACAGGCTTAAAGCCCTGTAATTAGATTAACTGAGTTCAAATGAAAGGGCTAATTATCTTTCACTAGTGTTGGATGAGCCTTTATTGATTTATTTGTCTTCAGGAGACGAATCTGAGCTGGATTTATCGTCTTCCCTGCACAGCCGTAGATAACTGGCACAATAAAGTACCAGTCCTTACTAGTGCCATCACACCATCACAGAGGCAGCAATGCCGCAGAAGAGCCATGCTGCGTGTTCTGCCTCGTGTGTCGTCAACACAAGTGACAGAGTTCTAATTGCACAGCCTCATGTTGATGGTGTATGGAGCAGAAAGGAGACGGCTGGATTCTCCGGATTCCAGGCATAGCTTGAGGTGATGACAGGTAGAAAAACCTCATTGTCAATAGACTTGACTGACAAGTAACTCCACTTGAAACTGACAGATTTGATCTGGAAGTTGGTGGAGGAGAATACACCTGGGACGATGCCAATTTCCACAGTCATTTATCAGAGCAGAATAGCATTTTAACTAGTAAAGCCGTAAGCAAGTTTGAGTACTTCCTGATCACTGGGCCAGTGGCTAGGATGGTGAAAATGCACTTGTATTTAAATGGCTTCTTGAAAAAAGCTTTGATTACTTTTATCCTTTCCCTTAGCTCTGATCAACTTGCTGAAGTTCCTCATGTCCAATGAGACTGTGCTATTGGCAAAACACAACATCTTCACCGTGGCGCTCTTGGTGAGTGTAGAGAAAGTGGGTTCACGTTGAATGGCCCAGAGGAGGAGGTTCCGTGGGGGGCTGGGGCTGGCCTGCTGAACAGGTAGTTAAACTGTGCAGAGATCAACGTACAGATCTCTAGCTTGGGAACCTATGCATGCTAAGGAGACATTGGAGAATCCCAAAGACAACACTCGTTGGGATGAGGGGTGTGGGCAGAAGGATGTCTGGGATGACTCGTACCAGGGACCTTAGAGGTCCTCCTGCTGGGGGCCAGGGCAGTGGTTTGCCAGACATATGTGCTCCGTGGGAACTGAAGGGGGATAGAAAAGCAGGAGAAGGGAGATATTAGTCTTTCATACCCAGATGGGGTGGAAGCCCAGTGGTGTAGACAAGATTGAGTTGTCTCCCTGCCTTTGCCAGTCTGGGTGAAGTGTGTTTTGTGGGAGAAACCAGGAAAAGCCAGCTTGGGATGGGAGACCCTGAAACTGGAAAGAGAGAGCTAACCAAACAAAGGGGGGGGGGGCTTGTCTTAATTCCCTATAGAAAATTACTGGCCCAGCTAGCCGCTGGCCTGTTTCTGATAGTAGCTCATGGCAGATGCTTCCGAGGGAGGTCCGAGAAACCCCTTAATGGGTGCTCAGTCATGTAATAAGTTTGCTCTTAAGGGAAGTTCCTTTCTCATCCCAGGTAGTTGGTGGCTGGTTTATTCCCTGGAGCAGGCAGAGTTGTAGATCGTTGGATTCTACAAGCTCATGCTCCGAATTCGTTAGCTCAGTTTTCCTGGTCATGGTAACCGTGTGCATGCTGTAATCTCCCCACTCCGCAAAGCATCAGAAATCTGCCTGTCTTAAGGTTTTATCCACATTCCACATAAGAAATGACAGAGCAAGAAGGTGGCGTATGACCACTCTTTGATGGGCTAAAAGAATATTGTCCAGTGTACTATGGGCTTATTACTCTGAAGGTTTTAAACATCATCTGGGTCTGATTGGAGTCTATTGTAAATTAGATGTTGTGTAACGATCCCCTATTGTAATTTTAATTTTTTTGTAGGTAGTGAACTTGTTCAACATGTTCATCACCTACGGAGACACCTTCCTCCCAACTCCCAGCAGCTACGATGAGTTGTACTACGAGATCATCCGTATGCACCAGAATTTCGATAACCTCTACTCCATGGGTGAGTGAGTGGCCTATTTGAGATACCATTGATAAAAACAAGCAGGAAATAAGCTGTGTGAGATATTCGGGGCGGTGCATGTTTGGGGGGGTGTGTGTGTGAATATATATGTTTCTGTATTTGCATAGATACCCAGTAAATTAAGACTTGAGAAAGGGATAAATCTGTGAAAAGAATAAATTTTTTCTTTTTCCAAAAGGGCAAAGTAAATTTCATTGGCTCTTCACCAAAGGAACAGGCCTGTTCAAGTGATCCAGTACGGTGTCCAAGAGGGCACCTGTCTAACAAGCATGTGTTGTTAATGCAAATATGTATTTGCCCATGTGACTAAATATATGATATTGAAATGTCATCAAAAACACCCTGAACCCTCATGTAGAGTTAACCAGCCTATAGTTTGTCTCTGCCAAGCCATGTTGAGCTCCCAGCTGGGAAAACATGCCTTCATCTGAGGTTGGAGAGCAAACACAAGCTGCAGAACCAATCAGCACAGGGAAATGGGCATTGTGAACAAAAGGGGTGAAAAGCATTTGAGAAATGCATGACAAGAAACCTGCTGCCTTGGACAAATCACACACTGCGCTCCTGCGGCGCCAGAACAAAGCCAGAGAGCAGCCCCCACAAACCCACAGGCAGGGCGGAGGAAATAGCTGGACAGAAGAATGCGCACACTGGCAAAGCAAGGAGAAACCATCCTTCAAAGAGAGAGGAGTGCATTGGAATACCACCAAGTGAACCCAGCAGGGAAGCAAGGAACAAAGGAGAGAAGCAAAAAACATGTGGAGGCATAATCAAGCAGTACACAAACGAGCCTGCATTGAAGAACAACCGCAGCAGGGCTGGTTTAATGCCTGTGTGCTGGAAGCTGCGGATAAAGGGATGTCTGTGCCTCTTTGTCTGCCCCTCTCCTGAGGGGTATGTCCCCCCCGGTCACTCCCACTCCCAGTGTGAACATGTAACTGCCATTGTAAATAATAGGAGTAACACAAGCACATAACAGGGGTTAGAAGACCTGTAAGAGAGAGCCAGCCACGGTGCACTACAGACTAGATGCAGAGAAGCACCCCCATTAAAATAGCTGTTTCTTCCGACTGCAATTGAACTGAATCTCTGCAGTATAAATGACCTCATCTCAAAAGAAATACATTAGAACTGAAAAAGGTATGGAGAAGGGCAACAAAAGTGATGAGGTGAATGGAACAGCTTCCGTATGAGGAGAGATTAATAAGACTGGGACTGTTTAGCTTGGCAAAGAGAAGACTAAGGCGGGATATGATCGAGGTCTATAAAATCATGACTGGTGTGGAGAAAGTGAATAAGGAAGTGTTGTTTGCCCCTTCCCATAACACAAGAATTAGGGGTCACCCAATGAAATTAATAGGCAGCAGGTTTAAAACAAACAGAAGGAATTACTTCTTCATACAATACACAGTCAACCTGTGGAACTCCTTGCCAGGAGATGTTGTGAAGGTTAAAAATATAAGTGGGTTAAAAAAAGAACTAGCTAAGTTCCTAGAGCAGGGGTGGCCAACCTGTGGCTCCGGAGCCACATGGCGGCTCTTCAGAAGTTAATGTGCGGCTCCTTGTATACGCACCGATTCCAGGGCTGGAGCTACAGGCGCCAACTGTCCAATGTGCCGGGGGGTGCTCACTGCTCAACCCCTGGCTCTGCCACAGGTCTGGCTCCCAGTCCAACCCTTCCCGTCCCCACCCCTTAGCCTGCTTTGCCCTCACTCCTCTCCCTCCCCCCCAGAGCCTCCTGCACGCCATGAAACAGCTGATCGGGGAAGAGGAAGGGGGAGGCGCTGATCGGCGAGGCTGCCGGTGGGAGGGAGGTGGGAGTTGGGGAGCTGATTGGGGGCTGCTGACATATTACTGTGGCCCTTTGGCAATGTACGTTGGTAAATTCTGGCTCCTTCTCAGGTTGGCCACCCCTGTTCTGGAGGACAGGTCCATCAGTGGCTGTTAGTCAAGACGGGCAGGGACACAACCCCATGCTCTGGGTGTCCCTAAACCTCTGACTGCCAGAAGCTAGGACTGGATGACAGGGAATGGATCGCTCAATAAATTCCCCTGCTCTGTTCATTCCCTCTGGGGCACCTAACACCAGCTGCTGTCAGAGACAGGATACTGGGCTAGATGGACCACTGGTCTGACTCAATCTGGTCGTTCTTATGTTCTTCTGGTTTTATCCCTCTGTTGTAAATTACCTGTATTTTTTGTCACCCATGCAAAGTACCAAAGAGTCAGTGGTGCTCACAAAGCAAATGCTGCCGCCCTTGCCTTTGGAGCCAATCACTGCCCAAGGACATGTCTGCACTGGGCAGTGGGTGAAGCCAGAGAAAAGTGGAACGAAGGAATAACACGCTCATATTCTCTCGACTGGGCAGCAATAGGCATGTCTGACCTGCTGAAACAATTCATTTCTCACATGAATACATTTTCCGTTCCGCTCTGTGAAGCGAAACCCCGCGAATTAACACTACAGATGCCTGAGTGGAAACCCGCTCTGAATTCATCGCTGCCGGTGTCAGGAATGGGATACTTGCTCTCTGACAAAACAGCGTTACACAGAGCCGGCACCTTCTCTTCTTCTAGGAAACTGCAGACGTTTGGGGCTCCGGAAAGCGAGGCACTAGAGCTGTGTCTGGCTAGGCATAGTGTAGGCAGCTGTCCAAGGAGCTTTGCCAATGTGCTCGCTCTGCACTTGCCCTTCTTCTGGGCCAGTTGTGGGTAGAGACTAATAATAGAGCCAAAGGACTGGGTGCTTTTGAAAAGTGGACCAAATGTCCCAGTTCATGTAAAGTTCATGGCACTACATGTGAAAGAAAGCATAGAATCAAATGAAGTAAAAATCTTAAATGAACCAAACTGTACCATAGAATCTCTGTGGCTAGTAATTCCGTGCTTGGATAATAAGACTATAGCAGTGGGGATATATAACCTACCACCTGGCCGGGATGTGATAGTGACTGAAATGCTCAGGGAGATTAGAGAGGCTATTAAAATAAAAAACCTCAATAATAATAATGGGGGATTTCAGCTATCCCCATATTGACTGGGTACATGTCACCTCAGGGTGGGATGCAGAGATAAAGTTTCTTGACACCTTAAATGACTGCTGCTTGGAGCAGCTAGTCCTGGAGCCCACCAGAGGAGAGGCAATTCTTGATTTAGTCCTAAGTGGAGCACAGGATCTGGTCCCAGAGGTGAATGTAGCTGGATTGCTTGGTAATAGTGACCATAATATAATTAAATTAACACCCCTGGGGCAGGGAAAACACCACAGTGGCCCAACACTGTAGCATTTCATTTCAGAAAGGGGAACTACACAAAAATGAGGAGGTTAGTTACACAGAAGTTAAAAGGTACAGCGCCAAAAGTGAAATCCTTGCAAGCTGCATGGAAACTTTTTAAAGACACCATAATAGAGGCTCAACTTAAATGTATCCCCCAAATTTAAAAACAGTAAAAGAACCAAAAAAGAGCCATCGTGGCTAAACAACAAAGTAAAAGAAGCAGTGAGAGGCAAGAAGGCATCCTTTAAAAAGTGGAAGTTAAATCCTAATGAGGAAAATAGAAAGGAGCATAAACTCTGGAAAATGAAGTGTAAAAATATAATTAGGAAGGCCAAAAAAGGTTCAAAAAGTAATAGCAAAAAAATGTTCAAGTACATCAGAAGCAGGAAGCCTGCTAAACAACCAGTGGGGCCACTGGATCGAGATGCTAAAGGACCACTCAAGGACGATAAGACCATTGCAAAGAAACTAAATGAATTCTTTGGGTCGGTCTTCATGGCTGAGGATATGAGGGAGAATCCCAGATCTGAGCCATTCTTTTTAGGTGACACATCTGAGGAACTGTCCCAGATTAAGGTGTCATTAGAGGAGGTTTTGGAACAAGTTGATAAACTGAACAGTAATAAGTCACCAGGACCAGATGATAATCACCCCAGAGTTCTGAAGGAACTCAGATGTGAAATTGCAGGACTACTAACTGTCATCTGTAACCTATCATTTAAGTCAGCTTCTGTACCAGATGACTGGAGGGGAGCTAATGTGATGTCAACTTTTTAAAAGGGCTCCAGAGGAGGCCCTGGCAATTACAGGCTGGTATTCCTGACTTCAGTGCCAGGCAAACTGGTTGAAACTATAGTAAAGAACAAAAAGGTCAGACACATAGATGAACATAATTTTGGGGGGGAATAGTTAACATGGTTTTTGTAAAGGGAAATCATGCCTCACCAATCTACTAGAATTCTTTGAGGGGATCAACTAGCATGTGGACAAGGGGGATCCAGTGGATATAGTGTACTTAGATTTTCAGAAAGCCTTTGACAAGGTCCCTCACCAAAGGCTCTTAAGGAAAGTAAGCTGTCATTGGATAAGAGGGAAGGTCCTCTCATGGATTTGTAACTGGTTAAAAGATAGGAAACAAAGGGTAGGTATAAATGGTCAGTTTTCAGAATGGAGAGAGGTAAATAGTGTTGTCACCAGGGGGCCTGTACCGGGACCAGTGCTGTTCAACATATTCATAAATGATCTGGGAAAAGGGTTAAACAGTGAGGTGGCAAAATTTGTAGATGATATAAAACTACTCCAGATATTTAAGTCCCAGGCAGACTGCGAAGAGCTACAAAAGGATCTCTTAAACCTGGGTGACTGGGCAACAAAATGGCAGATGAAATTCAATGTTGATAAATGCAAAGTAATGCACATTGGAAAACATAATCCCAACTATACATATAAAATGATGGGATCTAAATTAGCTGTTACCGCTCAAGAGAGAGATCTTGGAGTCATTGTGGATAGTTCTTTAAAAACATCCACTCAATGTGCAGCGACAGTAAAAAGAAAAAAAAAAAAAAAAAACGAACAGAATGTTGGTAATCATTAAGAAAGGGATAGATCATAAGACAGAAACTATCATATTGCCACTATATAAATCCATGGGACGCCCACATCTTGAATACTGTGTGCAGATGTGGTTGCCCCATCTCAAAAAAGCTATATTGGACTTGGAAAAGGTTCAGAAAAGGGCAACAAAAATGATGAGGGGTATGGAACGTACCCCTCATCTGCTGTATGAGGAGAGATTGATAAGGCTGGGACTTTTCAGCTTGGAAAAGAGACGACTAAGGGGGGATATGATTGAGGTCTATAAAATCATGACTGATGTGGAGAAAGTAAATAAGGAAGTGTTATTTACTCCTTCTCATAACACGTGAACCAGGAGTCGCCCAATGAAATTAATAGGCAGCAGGTTTAAAACAAATACAAGGAAGTATTTTTTCACACAACGCACAGTCAACCTGTGGAACTCCTTGCCTGTGGATGTTATGAAGGCCAAGACTATAACAGGGTTCAAAAAAGAACTAGATAAGTTCCTGGAGGATAGGTCCATTAATGGCTATTAGCCAGGATGGGCAGGGATGGTGTCCCTAGCCTCTGTTTGCCAGAAGCTGGGAATGGGCGATGGGGGATGGATCACTTGATGATTCCCAGTTCTGTTCATTCCCTCTGGGGCACCTGGCATTGGCCACTGTCGGCAGACAGGATACTGGGCTAGATGGACCTTTCCTCTGACCAAGTCTGGCCGTTCTTATGTATGTTTGTGCCCTGAATCTTCCTTTACCCAGGTCTGCAGAGCTGGTGAGCACTGTACATTAACCCACCCTGCTCATGGATTCACGGGCTTTGTTGAAGTAGTGTTGATGTTTATAGACAGCCCTAATGAGGGTGCTGTGCTCAGGGGCGAGAAGCTGTGTTCATATACAAGTGCCAGGTACCCCTTTTCAGAAAATCCTAGCTCCAGGCATGGCATCATAAATGGATTATTCCTTGACCGTACAAATTCACCCACAGTTCCGGCAGAGCACACTGCGTCACGAAAACGCCCTTTGTTCTGGATTTCTTCACTGCTTCGCAACTGGGTTTGAGGTGTGGGTGCCGAGATGATGGGCTGCCTGGAAACACTCTGGACCTGAATAAATACCTTGGGCACTCTGTCAGCAGCACGATGGGCTTCCAGAGACGTTCTGCCTGGTTTGGAGCATTTTCAGCTCTGCTCCCTGTCTCTGTGAGGCAGAGGGGGCGTGCTGGTCTCTCTGGGGAGCAGGCTTCTCCCCATGCCGGGGTATGATCTTTCTCTGCAAGGCTGATTAACAGAGCCAAAGAAACTTTCGACATGGGGATAGTCTGAAACTACAGGGCATAGTCTAGAACAGATGGAACCCTGAATAAATAGGAACTGGAGCTGAGCAGAAGGGGAGCAAATGTGGAGTAAGATACCAGAGAAAGTGGCATGAGCAGAGAGCAATGAATGAATCCAAGATGCTAAGCTCTTATTTCTGGAGGAAGGGGATCTGGAGACACGGAGATGAAATCAGGTCGGCAGGATTAATTCCCCTCTCACCCCACTCCAGAAAAGGAGGCTGCGCTTTGGCCTATATAGCTTTTTTATATTCCTAAAATCTCTGAAATGGCTTCAGAAGAGGCTGCGTATTATGGCCTGGGAGTGAGACCCTGAACCCAGGTCGTGACAACCAGAATGGGGGCGGAGGGCGGGGTTCTGCTGGCTCTCTTGAAGGCTGGTCTCGTTGTGACTTGGATCTCCAGCTGCTGTTTTACTGGATGTTTCAGGTTAGAAAGTGTCGCTCTGTTGTCGGTTCAGTACCAGCAGTCTTAAGGATCTCTCTCCCTCTCTTTCAGTGCTCCGGCTTTCGACCAATGCCGGTCAGTGGAAGGAGCCTGCCAGCAAGGTGACGCATGCGTTAGTCAATATCAGGTAAGGCGTGGGAATGAATAGCAGCGTGGGAGTTCTTGGGAGGTGTTCTGTGTGGCTCTGCCGGTTTGACACTTCCATGTTTGTTGCACAGAGTTTGTTTTGGAGTTTAAATTGCTGCCTTAAGCAAAGGGGGTGGAGGGCTCATGAAAGTTTGAATTAATTTCTATAATAATAATGCTTAGCTCTTCCAGGGGGCTCTGCGCGGTCAAAGCAGGAATGAGGTCATCCTAATTGCACCCCTGGCATGCTGGCAGGGCGATTGTGGGTCAAATGGGCTTTCACTCTTGCTTGATTCCATTGCATTCATGAGACTACAATCGCTGCTTCTGAGTCACCTGCTCATGGTGTCAGTCTTGCCCACAGAGAACGTCTTTGCAGAGGCTTTAAGCCAGTTCCCAAACCCCTTTCAAAACTGCAAGGAATTTAAAAAAAAAAATGTACAAATGCTTATTTAAAGATGGTTTCAGTTGGACCTGTTGAACTCTCCTGCCCCAGGGCCACAAGTCGGTCACTAGCTGATGGGGCTCGGGAGTAACTGTCCCTATTGCCACGTTAGTCCACAGCTGTAGAGGCTTCCATCGTAGCTTCAGGGTTTCTTGCTCTGAAATCTCTAATCCCTGGCCACTGCTGGAGACAGCATGCTGGGCTGGATGGCCCATGGGTCTGACCCAGGCTGGTTGGAAGGTGGAGGGAGGGGAATTTAGTGTTTGACCACCATAAAAAACCCATGTCAGCTACCAAGGCTTGTGCCCAGCAGTACCCCAGTCACTCCTTGGGCGTGGGACTCCTTTCTCCCACCTTTTGGTGTGTTTTTCTCATTGCCGATGGGGTGCTCCGTGGGGCAGGCACTGCACTGTTCTGTGCTTGGGAGGCACCAAACACCGTGTGGGCACCACCGTGTAAATAATCAGTGGCATTGGTCATATTTTCCAGAAAGGGAAACTGAGGCCCAAGTCCACACTAAAAGTCAGGAGCAGAGTCAGAATTGGAACTGCCCCGAGGCCTGCTGCCTTGCTGGGAAGCAGAACGTAGCTCGGTGGAGCTGTCTCGGTTCTTTGCAATTCTCTCACAACAGACGACAGTGTGTACAAGGCAAACTCTCAGGGCACATTTCAAGGAAAATATGTGTTTTATGTGTCTATAAATCACCTTTGAAGGTTTCCTCTGTAAGCTTCATTTCCTCACATAGAGGTTCCAGAAGACTTATTTTGTTCCCATCTTTATTTTTCATAAACAGATCTCAATGAAAGCTTTGTGGGCAGATAATACTCCCTCAATGAAGCTGCAGAGCAGATAGCATTTAAAGTGTCACAAGTGTCTGCCCTCGGAGTGCTCTGGAAACGCAGAAGCGTCTCTAAACTGGGAAGGGAGTATTCACAGGTGGAAAGGATGTGGCTGCCCAGGTTTCTAGGCTTGCTCTGTAGCATGTAAACGAGCAGGTTCACTTTCCCTTCTCGGCGCCCCGTCTCCCCAACACTGATTCGTTAAAACTGATCCTCTCAAGCAGCTGAAAAGATAAAAGCAAACAATTGGCAACGTGATTTCCTTCCTACTGCTGCCCTCGCCGGGGGCATCCAAGAGCCGGCAGAGCGGGTGGATGGGGGAAACTGGCCCCACGGGTTCCTGTTTTAGCCTTGAGATAGATTTTAGTTGTTGTTGCTCCGTGCATGCTGTTCTTCCACCCTCCCTTTCAGTTCAGATCCCTTCTTTGTCATGAATTGTTGTTCCCTACGGGAGGATGTCAGGGTGCCGGCCTGCCTCAAACACGTAGTTGCCAGGTGTGTGCCTGAGGAGGCACTAATTAGAGCCCCTCTTCCTGGGCTAAGGTTGTTGAGTAGGTCCTGGTAACGCAACTACAGTATCATGTTAGAACCCTGGGATTTCTTTAATCCATATTAACCTGGTGGCCGGCCTGGGTGCAGCCCAGACTGCGCTTGGGAGAGTTGATCTTCTAGCAGTTGACAGAGGTTGTGTTCATGCTGCTTCAGCTTGAGCAAAGCTCGCGTGGACTTACCTGCCGACCCTGACTGGGGTGGAGTGTTGGGTTCTGTTGTGAAGCTGTTGTGAGGGAAAATTTAGCAGGCCTTAAACTTTAGTCAAGGCCCTGAGTTTGGTCAAGCTTGCTTACAGGCCTTAAACGCGTGGATCAATTTTCCCACATCACTATGTTCTTCCGTCTCACAAGCAGGGCTTCGAGGGACACTTTCATTTCAGTGGGTCGTGGCCAGGGGTGGGGGGCGGGGGACGGACGGACGGGACACTTTCAAGACTATCGCACGTAAACCATCAACCTGTTTCCCATTTTAGTCTCTGTAATTTCCCCTCGCTGCTCTGTGCTGTCTGCTGGGGCCTGCAGTGTCTGCTGGTCACACGTACTGTGTGAAAGGCAAGAGGGGCTGCGTTTCATCCAAGGAAGGCAAGACTTTCAGATTTAGGCAGGTTGTTTATGCAGGTCTCAGCTGGGCAAAATGTGGGCACTCCTGCATTTTGGACTGGCATATCATGGAAGTTTTAGAAACTGGTTTTTACCCTTAACCCCAACCAATGCCTTGGTGCCAGTGGGCCATTGTCTACTGTTGGCATGTCTTGTTCAAAGACTCTCCGCTCCTACCGTCAAGAACACATATCATGAGAGATTCGGGTTGTTCTCTGCATACAAGCAGAGCTACGTTTTGGTCCTCATTGTGATGGCTAAAGTTAAATTACTCCCAGGATGGGAAGTTGGTGGTTGCCTAGGGATCAGTGATCATGACCTGATTGCTTTCAATAAAGGCAAATGGAGGACAGTCCCAGCCAATGATATACATACTTGGTGCTTCAAAAGGGCTCATTTCCCAAAGATGAGGAAAATTATCAGGGAAATTTGGGAGGAAAAATTTAGACAGAAAAATATGCATGAAAAGTGGGAGTACTTTAACTGATTAGGTGACCAAAAAGCCACAACTCCACAATCAAGAAAGAGGACAACTTTGGCTAAAAGCCCATCCTTGTTCATTTGGGGGAGTGAAAGCAGAGATTAGAAATAAAAAAGCAATGTCTAGCATGGGGAAATAGATAGCAATCGATATAAATGAAGTCATGAAGTTTAGAAAATTGATAAGGTATGCTAAAGACAGGAAAATCTATGGCTGGCAGAGCCAAGGGCAATAAGAAGGAGTTTAAGTATATTAGGAATGAAAGAAATCCAATTGATGGTATAGGCCCATTATCAGATGGAGCTGGTAACATTGTTGTTAATGATGCAGAAAAGGCCGAAATTTTCGAGATATTTCTATTCAGCATTTGAAAAGGAGCAGGATGATGTATTGAAATCACACGAGGATGAGGAAGTATTTTCCAGTCCATTAGTTACTATGGAGAACAGTGGTACTGGAACAGTTTTTATAATGGGGGTGCTGAAATCATGTATTTGGGTTGTTGCTACCACTTCAAGCCAACAGGTGCAGCAGCACCCCTGGTTCCAGTACCTATGATGGAGAATGTTAAAACACACCTGCTAGAGATAAACATTTTGAAATCTGCAGGCCCAGATAACTTTCACCCAAGAGTCCTAAAAGAGTTGGCTGAGGAGATGTATAGCTTGCTGCTGTTAAATTTTAATAAATCTTGGAGTACGGGGGAAATTCCAGAAGACTGGAAGAGCGCTAACGTTGTGCCAATATTCATGAATGGCAAGTGGGATGACTAGGGTAACTATAGACTGGTTAGCCTGGGCAAAGTAATGGAAAAGCGGATCCAGGATTCAATCACAAAAAAAATTAAAGGCTAGGAATATAATTATTGTCAATAATGTGTTTTTTTTGGAAAATAGTTCTTGTCAAACAAACCTGATTTCATTCTCTGAGATAAATTTCATTGATAAAGATAACTGCAGATGTAATATACTTAAACTTTGTAAGAGGTTTGACTTAGCATCACATGACTTTCTGGTTAAAAAATAAGTGCTATACAATATCAGTGAAGCATACATAAAATGGATTAAGAACTGGCTAAGTGACAGAACTCAAAAAGTAGTTGTAATGGGGAACCATCAATGAATGGGGGAGTTTCTAGTGGGGTCTCTCATAGAATGGAACTAGGCCTGATGCTATTCAACGTTCTTGTCAATCATCTGGAAGTAAACATAAAATCATGGCTGATACAATTTGCAGATGACGCAAACGTTGGCAGAATGGTGAATGCTGATGAGGACAGGGTAGTGAAAAGGGGTTCCCCTCGCCGCAGGTGCGCCTCCTTGTGCCTGGGTCTGGGAATTAGCTCTCCCCCCTGTCTGGTGACCCCTTCCATTGGTTGCTCACACTTTGGCTCCTCTCTCTCTCTCTCTCTCTCTCTCTCTCTCTCTCTCTCTCTCTCTCTCTCTCTCTCTCTCTCCGTGACTCAGCCCTCTGGCCAAGTCTCTGTATCGTTCCCGCCCTTCCAGGGAAACAAGGTCCCACCGGACAAGCTGTCCAGATGCCTTCTCAGATGGTCTTCGTTCCAGTTCTCCAGGTCCTGTGTCTGTTTCCCAGTGGCTGGTAGGGGAACTTGGGCCTGCCTGCTACTCCAGCTTCCAGCCCAGGGTTCTATGACTGGCAACCTAGGTCTGCTCGGTCCTGGTGACTGTTTCCCTGGGCTTCTTCCTACCGCACCTCTCTATCTCCTTGACTATATCTGGAGTTTGCCACCAGAGCTTCGTCCACTCCCTGTGGCTACTTCACCCCTCTTGGCCTCTTGTCAAGACTCCTTAGGCCAGGGTAGGACCCTAGGGTTTACTCAGCCCCTTGATCTCCTCCTTGGCCCTGGCTAACTCCCTTTCCTTCTTGGAAGTGACTGCAGATCTCTTCTCTGCAACCTCTTCCTGCTCTGACTTCCTGTTTTATAATCCCGCCCCCCCTCCCCCCCCCAGCCCTTAGGCTGTATCAGTCCCTACTTCCCCTCCACGTGCAGAATATATAGTTAATTGGCTCATGTGATTTGCCCCACACTGGGCACTAAGAGGTTAATAGAGTCCTCGGGCGGCT